GATGTAGTTGCTATTATTCGTGTTTTACAGGCAGGAACTGAGGCACAGAGGTTGAAAGCAACTTGCCTAAGGTTTCGCAATAAGGAAACGATGGAGCTGGGATTTAGACTGAGGAGGGGTGGTTCCAGAGTCCATATCCTTAATGCTGCCTCTGCTTCCGCAGCATATTGAGTCTCAGGGCATACCAGGCACTGTGTTAGCCCCTGGGCATCCAGCACTGAATGCACACAAAACCCCGCCCTCATGGAGTTTATTTTCTAGTGAGGAAAGATGGACAATACATGAATAAGTAAAATATATGATCCAGATGGTAGTAAATGCTAAGAAAAAATAAGTCCGGGGAGGGAGGGAAGGAGGGAGGGAGGGAGGGCGAGAGGGAGGGGAGGGGAGGCTGGGTGACAGTTGCAGCTTTAGGTGGGGCAGCCCAAGGACATTTGCACTAGGAGGACTTACCAAGATTCAGAGGATGTGGCTCCTCTGATTCTGCCATTGCCACTCCCTCTGGCTGAGCCCAGCATACTCCCTGTCTACACAGCTGGAGGCAATCTTTCCAAACCCCCTGGTGGTGGTCCCCCAATTGTCCTCAGGATAAATCCAGCACTTCCACCATCCTTATTCAAGACCTGCTTCCATTCCTGCCTCTTCTCTGGAGTAAAAATGGAAACACACATATCCTCTGTCTCAGTTATGAAAATTAATATAGGCTAACAAACTGTTAAATAAAACACGTTCTATCCTTCTACCTTGACTGATATACCTTCATAGTGACAGAGGAGGCCAGCCTTGTTGGACTCCCGAGTTCCCTGCAGAACTTGGCCGCAGAGGGAGACCAGCCCCAGGCCATGCTCTGCCTCTCCGTGCCCACTGCCCAGCTCTGTCTTCCACTGTGCAGGGGTAGGGGAAAGGGGGGTCTCGCATGCATGTGGACTCTCCAGCTCAAACATCCATGTTCTAGCCACACCTTTGCAAATAGCAGCCCTTTGCCTCCCCTCAGGCCTAGGTGTGCTCATGCTGATGGTGCTACTTGCCTTAGAGCAGTGGTCGGCAAACTCATTAGTCAACAGAGCCACATTTCAACAGTACTTCTTCAAAATAGACTCGCCCAGGCCAAAAACCGACTTCTGCGCATGGGCCACGAAGTTTCAATCGCACTGTACGTGCGCCCGCACATAGTATTTTGTGGAAGAGCCACACTCAAGGGACCAAAAAGCCGCATGTGGCTCGGGAGCCACAGTTTGCTGACCACGGCCTTAGAGGATTAGACCTGGGGTCCAGCTACACAAGGGCCCAGAGTGTAGGCTAAGGGCCCTTTGGGCAGAGAATTTTAGGGTTTCAGGTAATAGGAGCTTCATTTACAAGGGGGTGAAAGTACAGTACAGACTTCATCTGGGCAAGTCTCCTTGGCCTCAGGGTTGGGTGGGAGAGGGGAGGGTATGCAAGGGGAGGCCAAGCCTGGAATAGGGCTGTCAGAAGCACTCAGAGCATCAATCTCTTCCCTACCCTTATGCCTAAACTAGAGTGAATTACTTGAACTTTCTCAGTATGCCATGCTCCTCAGCGTCTGTGATTCTGTAATATTGCAGACTGCAGAATACAGGTCATTCATTTGGACTCCTTGCCACAATTTCCCTCATCTCCTATGAGCTCCCTAATTAATCCTCGCATTGCTGACCCTTAACCCCCACCGCCTATGACCAACACACCACTCACAGTGGCGATGGTGGTGGGGTGTAATAGAATATAGTGACCCAAGTGTGGGCGTTACAGTCAGCAGCCCTGGTTCTGATTATTTGCTTAGCCACTTGCTAGTCCTGTGACCTTCAGCAGGTTCTGTGCCTCAATTTCATTGTCTCTTACATGGGGGTTACATGCCAAGTTTATAAGGTATTGTGAGGATAGTGCAATATCGTCTGTCAAGTGCCCAACCACAGTTCCTGGCATAGAATAAGCATCTAGTGAGAAGTTCTTTTCCCTCCCCCAGCTCTGCCTCTTACTTGAAACCATACACAAAGCACCTTGAGAGACCAGGCTGTCTCACAGAGATGCCAATTACATTAGCTCCCAGGGGCCTCTCTCCCCATCTCCTGCCTTAGTGAGAACTTCTGGAGAATGTTAGTACCTGTTTCTACTGTAGTTGTCAGAAACCTGCTACCCCACTTAGATGCTGGGGTAGTCAGACTCCAGCTCTTGGTAGCAACACCAACTGTTGCTAGGGATGGTGGTTTCTCATGTCAGCACAATTATGGCAACAGGGATGGAGCAGGTGCACAAAGAAGTTGGTCATATCAAAGGAAAGGTAAGACCTACAGGTACCTTGCAGCACCTGACGTAAGTGGGCACGCAACAGATGTGAGTCAAGTTGAACAAAACTAAGCTCAAAGAGAAAAGTCCTTAAATCCCAGTAGAAAAGTGGATAAAAGAACTGTGTAGGTAAGTCACAGAAGAAATACTTCTAGGCCAATAAGCTCTAGATAGTAAACAGAGAGGTGCAAATTTAAATGGGCGAAGATTTCAGTGCTGATGAGGGTATAGTAAGGGGGCGGAGGGCATGTCATGCGCTGCTGGGACGCTCGTGCGTGCATAACATGTAAGCTGATATGTCTTTCTGCAAAGTAGTAATGAGAATGGTTAAATAAGGCATGGTCAAGGTACAGATGGATGGACTATGTGTCATTTGGTGTGCCAGCTTCAAAGAAATTTTAAACAAGGGAAAAAACTCTATGTTACTGTGAAAAGTAGAACACTTTCTGGTATGAAAATTACATGCACAAAGAAGATTGGAGGGAAATAGGACAGAGTGTTAAAAATTCCTGCCATTAGCATCACTTATATAAATCTTTGAAGTTTTCTGTATTTAGCAGGTGTTTCTTTAATAATGGGAAAGAAATTCCATAATTTAGGAAAATGGCACATTGCTTTCATACAATAGATCAGAGAAAATTATTTATGGATGACTCTGGCCACTTGTTGACACCGATTTGGGAGAAACAGAACTTCCATGCTGAGTCTAGTCCTTTCTATCAGCAAGAAGAAATGGAAAGTCTCCTGCCTGGGCAGTTCCCCATCTAACTGGGAGGCCCATGGAAGTTGCCTTATGCTGGAGACATTCACATAGTCATGGCAGCTGTGGCGTCTTCACCAGGCTGCCATTCTCATCACTGTTGAGATTTGAGAATGAAGCCGGAAAAGGTATTCTGTTTCCATTTGTGGCTTAATTCTTCCCATTGCGGCCTTACCTCCAGTAGTGGTAAGCGGTTGGTTGGTGGAGGCACACATCTGTGGGTCATGTAACATGCGCAGTGGTTTATGCCAGTACAATCCAGGGAATAGGAAAATTAAGTGAAAGACCCTAAGGAAATTCTACACCAGGGTTTATATAAGAATGTGAAACACCGAAAGTATATTTTTAGTTATAAAATAAATGGATAGGTTAAATAAGCCAAGAAGAAGAGAAGAGCCTCTAACTACCAAAACATAAACTTTCTTCCAAACTGATATGTTGTAACTATTTTAACTTTTTCCTCCCATTCTGATTCTTAGGAGTTATAAAGTCCAAGTGCTTAAATAAACTTTGCTCTTTAATAAGTTACATAGCAACATCTTGATTGATTCACTTAGGCTGCTTAGTTTTGGTTTTCAAGATGGTCACTGTCACTTCTTCTGGCCTTGATTTTAGGAGTAGCTTCCCCTCTCTTAACTTCCTAAAGTAAGAATAAGATTGGTGTGCCTTATTCATACCCCGACTCTTATAATGGAAGTACACGAGACAACAGACTGTATCCATCTTTTTCATCAGTCCCACATTTGGCCGTCTGTGAGTAATCAGCATGACTCAACAATCTGATTTTTTTAAAAAATATATATATATTATTGATTTCAGAGAGGAAGGGAGAGAGAGAGAGCGAGAGAGAGAGAGACAGAGAGAGAGAGAGAGAGAGAGAGAGAGAGAGAGAGAGAGAGAGAGAGAGAGAGAGAGAAACATCAATGATGAGAGAGAATCACTGATCAGCTGCCTCCTGCGTGGAACACACCGGGGATTGAGCCCGCACCCGGGGCATGTGCCCCGACCAGGAATCGAACCGTGACCTTCTGGTTCATAGGTCAATGCTCAACCACTGAGCCACACCGTCCTGGCAACAACCTGATTTTTTATAAGTTAACAAACATTAGAACTACAAGTAATACATCTTAAATACAGTGGTGACAAATATGCCTTATTCATACTTTGTGTACCATCTCTTATCAATGGATAGAATCAACCTAGAATCTTTTTTTAATATATTTTATTGATTTTTTACAGAGAGGAAGGGAGAGGGAGAGTTAGAAACATCGATGAGAGAGAAACATCGACCAGCTGCCTTCTGCACACCCCCTACTGGGGATAAGCCTGCAACCAAGGTACATGCCCTTGACCGGAATCGAACCTGGGACCCTTCACTCTATCCACTGAGCCAAGCCGGTTAGGGCCAACCTAGAATCTTTTATTGAAAAAGATGCTTTGGCTCCGTTTGGGTTCAGTGGTAAAGTGTACCAGTGACTGCCATTGCTCTGGGCGTGGGGAAGGGCAGCCCTCATGCCAAAGATTTTCCATCTCAGATATTAGGGCCTCAGGGTCCCTGTTGGTACAGGGCTTGTCTTCAAATAGGGAAAACAGGATTCCTCCCAGGAGCGAGAGAGACAAAAACTAAATGTAAAATCAAACAGAAATTGGAATACCCAAACAGTAAACACCCCATCAAGCGCCAATGACTATAGGGAAGGCTGAGTCATTTGCTGAATGCTAGGAGAAGGCAGACACCCTGCAGCAGATGGGGTTAAGCCAGGAAGGTCTTCTGAGGCAGTGCATTTTTAGTGGGATTGGAAGGCAGCCTGCAGACCTGGCGTGAAGTTGGAAGGGTGGCCCGATTAAAAGGAATGCAGATTTCTGGATGCTTTTGGACTATGTACTTCAAAGTCTCAGCTGCCCAGAGTGACCATGCCGGACCTCTGACCCCCCACAGTGAGGACGTGTGCAAACGTGGCTTCACCGTCATCATCGACATGCGGGGCTCTAAGTGGGACCTCATCAAGCCCCTCCTCAAGACGTTGCAGGAAGCCTTTCCAGCCGAGATCCATGTGGCCCTCATCATTAAACCCGACAATTTCTGGCAGAAACAGAAGACCAACTTTGGCAGCTCCAAATTCATCTTTGAGGTGAGCCAGACCGCTCTCTGAGCACCCCTTTCCCTTCCGCCACCCACACATTTCACACTGTGCTTCTCCATCCACTCTACTGTACCCATGTCTATGGCTGGTATTTCTGGAGTCCTTGGCTACTGTGGCTTTACCGGTTAGTATCTAGAGAGGAATAAGAGGATCAAGAGATTGTCCTAATTGCACAGTGTTAGTAGGCAATTCTGTGTACTATTGGTGAGTATGTAAATTAGGACAGTTGTTTCTGGGGGCAACTTTGTAATTTGGCCCAAATGCCTTAAAAAGAGTTTATAGCTATTGATCTAGTAATTCTTCTTAGAAAATATTTTTAATATGAAAGCTAAACAAAACCTCTTGAAAATCTAATTATAATTATAAACAGATAATGGTCTACAAGAATGTTCATTCATCATAGTGTTTTTTGCCATAATATACACATACATATATACAGATATATATACACACATATACACATATACATGTGCATACATATAGTTTGTATCCTGAATATCCATTAATTTTGGTAACATTAATTCACAAATACGTGAAGCTATTAAAATCATATTTAGTTATATATCAATTATATCTCAATGCAAATCATATTTAGAAAAATAGCATCTTTGAAAAATACTTATGATATACTGTTTTAAAAAAGGCAGGTTTTTAACCAGTCTGGGCATTATAATCTGAAGTCTGTCTTTTAAGTGCATAATGAAGAAGACTGAGAGACACGTGAAAATGTTAGTAGACTATTAGCAGTGGCTGATTAAAGGTGATTTTTCATTTTCTTCATATTTTCTATTTTCTCTTATACTCAAGGAGAACGTGTTATTATTTTCTCTTTAGCTAGGTTTTCCCAGACAGCATATGAGGATTTTTAATGGTGACACAGCAGATTAAGTCAATGATTTAGGAACCTTTGTTCTAGCCAAATCCAAGCTGTTCCCCTTTCCTGGAACCCTAGCCCTCATCTGCAGGGGGATGAACCTTGTGTACATGTGCATGTTGGAAAGGCGGAGCTGCACCTAAACTTACGCAACTTTCCACTCCAAACCCTACCCTCTAGGCCAGGAGTGCCTGTGTGTGGCGTGATGGCCCCAGTAGTTTGTGATGGAGCATAGCAACCTGACTATCTGAGCGAAGTGATTCTCACTCTGTTTAAATAACACAAAGAATTTGACTTGGTATAAAAACAGCTCTCCTACTCTCCCGGCACCCCCACCCAACATTAGGAGCCCTGTGCTTTAAAATATATATATATTTGCAGCCCTGTTTCAGTGCCATGCCACTTCATTCTGAAGGTTTTTCAATATACTAGTATAGATTTATTGATTTTAGAGAGGAAGGGAGAGGAAGAGAGATAGAAACATCAATGATGAGAGAGAATCATTAATCGGCTGCCTCCTGCATTCCCCCTGCTGGGGATCGAGCCCACAAGCCAGGCATGTGCCCTGACCAGGAATCCAACCGTGACCTCCAGGTTCGTAGGTCAATGCTCAACCACTGAGCCACACCAGCTGGGCAGGAGCCCTGTGTTTTGTAGTTTTGGTTTTTGTATACAGAGGTGGTGATAACAAGCCTATATATTTATAACCTGAGAAGAATGAAAGTACTCTTTCCAACAAGTCCTGAAACTGTGTTTCAGTGTGGCTGCTCAGCCCTTCCCCTCTTCCTTCGCCACAAGTTGAGCAAGCTTGTCTTTGCCTCCTAAATAAGAAGTAAGGAGAGAGAGCTGGGGCCTCCCACTCAGAAGAGTATTTATAAGGCAATGCCTTACGAACAGCCAATGAAATCCCTCATGCAGGCTGAGGGTACAGGCTTGTTCAATAGCAGATACTTAATGACTAATTGGTGCATATAATCATGGGAGACTTCCTGGACGTGGTAAACTGGGAGCCAGATTTGAAGGGGAAAGTGCTCTAGAACAGGGCTGCTCAAAGTTTAATGCACAGAGTCCCTGGGGATCGCGTTCAATGTGGATTGTGATTCAGCAGATCTGACTTCTGAGATGCTGCTTTCCAACAAGCTCCCAGGGGGTCTTAATGCTGCCGCCAAGGGCCACACTTTGAGTCGCCAGGATCTAGATTAGCAGAGGTTTGTATCAGTGGCTGCACATTAGAGTCACTTGGTGAGCTTTTAAAATTACCCATGCACACACTCCAGTCCAGGCCAACTAAATCAGAGACTTGTATCTGCTACCAGGAGAGCCTTGGTGTCAGCAGAGGCCCACCCAGCCTGAGGCAGGAAGCTTGACTCAGACCGTTGCAGCCCAAAGTTGACCCACATTGCTTCATGCAACCGTGATGATGTCCTGGGTCATGGGCCTGGCTGGGTTTTCAAGCTCTGGAGAACCAGACCCTCAGGCACTCCTGCTTCTAGCATCTGCAGTCCTGCTGTGGTGACTCGGGGGTGGAGAGGAGGAAGATGAAGGCAGCTGAGACTTAAAGGCAGTCTCTCCTGTAATAGCAAGTGGTGGGCAGGTGGAGAGGCTTTTGGAGGCAGTCAGCTGGTCTGTTGAAACTGCTTACCCTGGCTGATTTGTAGCTGATGACCAGCAGGCCACGTGCTCATACACCGGCCCTTTCCTGCACAGGCTGTGGTCATTATTATGTGGACTTACCTTGGCCTCTCCCCTGGACTTCCTCCCCTCCTGCCTACAGCTTCCCTGGTTTCCCCTCACCCCCCCCCCCCCCCACTTCACTGAGTCACCCTCTCTGTGTCTGTCCCCCAGACAAGCATGGTGTCCGTGGAGGGCCTCACGAAGCTGGTGGACCCCTCCCAGCTGACCGAGGAGTTCGATGGCTCCCTGGACTACAACCACGAGGAGTGGATCGAGCTGCGGCTGTCCCTGGAGGAGTTCTTCAACAGCGCCGTGCACCTGCTCTCGCGCCTGGAGGACCTGCAGGAGATGCTGGCTCGGAAGGAGTTCCCCGTGGACGTGGAGGGCTCTCGGCGGCTCATCGATGAGCACACTCAGCTCAAGAAGAAGGTGCTGAAGGCCCCCGTGGAGGAGCTGGACCGGGAGGGGCAGCGGCTGCTGCAGTGCATCCGCTGCAGCGACGGCTTCTCAGGGCGCAACTGCATCCCCGGCAGCGCTGACTTCCAGAGCCTGGTGCCCAAGATCACCAACCTCCTGGACAAGCTGCACTCGACCCGGCAGCACCTGCACCAGATGTGGCATGTACGCAAGCTCAAGCTGGACCAGTGCTTCCAGCTGAGGCTCTTCGAGCAGGATGCAGAGAAGGTAGGAGGGGAGCCGGCCCACCTGGGGCTGGGGTTTGGGGGCGGGTGGCCACTGCTCTTTAGAGAGACTGGTCGAGGTTGCCAGTTCAGCTTTCTGATTAATGACTTTTGTGGAAAGTTTTTTTTAAGTGTTTATTGGTGCACATTTATTTTAATCATCTCTGGCCATTGCTCACTGACTCCTTAAAGCTCTCCTTATATAGTGTTTATTATGCGCCAGGCACTGTTGTAAGCTCTGAGTATAAATGAACACATTTTAACCCTCGGAAGGCCTATAGGTGGGTATATCATCATTATCCCATTTTACAGGTGAAGAAACTGAGAGGCTAAATAACTTGGCCAAACGAGGCAGTGCGGCTGCCGAGCCCATGCTTTTCCCCACGGCTGGACACTGCCCCTCTCAGGACCTGTACTGAATGGTTCGAGACGGCTGAGCAATAAAAATAATAATACTGTTACCAGCCGCAGTAACATGACTGAGGGGCTGGTGCTGGGCAGCGTACTCGACTGTTGACAAAGCATTCCACGTGCAGAGCCTTACCTAACTGCACAGCTTTCCCATCCTTGGAGGTGCGTGGTGCTGCTGACCTGCAGGGAAATGGAGTGCTCCTTGATCTTGGGGCTACAATGGCAGACTTGACATATGAATCCAGCCTTTTTCAGCTTGAAGTCCGGGCTCTTTGTGCCATGCGCTTCATTCAGAAGGTTTTTCCTCAGCAGCTCAGCCAGCACTTAAGCAGGCCCCAATGTTCTAGCAGTGAATTTTCATAGCTTTCTCCTTATCAGGGGAGATATGAGAAAGGGAAAAAGAAAAATATATCATGTAGTGCTTCGTTGCTGAGGACACAAAGGTATCTTCTCCAGGTTTTTTCAAGGTAAAGAAGAGAGTTGCTATTATATGTGCTTTAGGGGGAGTGAAATGGGCTCTCCTCCTATCAGTTTTCTGGAAATAACTTATATTTAAATGCATAATGCTACTCTGCATCTCTCAGTAACCTATGGATTTTACAGACAGTGTCTAATATAATGGTTTTGTGTCTTTTCAGAGCTCATATTGGAAATATCTAAATATTTTGAAGTGATGAAATCAGGATATGAAACTATATAATATGCATAGATGCATAACCCATGGACACAGACAATAGCATGGGGAAGGCTGGGGATGAGGTGGAGGGGGGCAAAAAGGAGGGAAAAGGAGCAAAAAACACAACTCTATGTAATGATGATCCTAATTTATGTGAGAGTGCCAGCATAGGTATGACTGGAGGAAAATCCAGCACAATGTTAATAGTTTTGATTCTCAGATGACAAGCTTAAGGTTAATTTTAATTATATATTTATATATTTTCCAATTTTTTATAATTTATAATCAGAAGGAAATCAGTACATGTCATTTTTAAAGACTGCATTGCCCCTTTCTACAACAGAACTTCTGAACATCATTTAAGTCAAGGGACATGTAAAGGGGTTTCTTGTATAACCTTAGGAGTTGCAGGGTTTTCCCTGAATTCCTGAGGGCTCTTTGCCCAGGGGCCTGGCAGCCTGGGTCTGACCCTGGCCTGCTCTGGGAAGGGCCACTTGGACTATGGGATCCTGTCACAGTTCACCAAGCTATGAGACACCAGGTCAGGAGCCAGCAACTCTGGGAAACCAGTCGCAGGTACTCTGGCTCCCGTGCCTGGGGTAAGGAAAATCTGGAATAGCTCCTTTCTATTTGGGTTTTCTTCTGCTCTGGGGCAGAGGACCTGCTTTGCAGCCTGGCCTAGCTGGCCATTGCAGTGACAGGGACAGAGGGGGAGGCAGGGACTAGGTCTGCCTAGATGTATTTTAGAGTTTGAGGCACTTCACAGCACCCCGGAAGCTCAAGGGTAAGGGAAGATGGCATGAGGCACAGATGGTGCCTGTCTCAAAAATAAGATGAACCATATACCTTTAGCACCAGAAGACCTGGGTAGGTAAGGCTGACCTTCTAGAGTCACACAAGTGCCAGTCCACTAGGCAGTAATTGCTGCCACACATACATTCTCTCGATTCATTCTCTCTCACAAGAATCACATGGCATATTAGTATTCCTCTTTTATAGTGGAGGAAATGGAAGCTCAGAGAGATGGAGTGGCCTGCCCAGGATCACACTACCAATTAGAGCCAGTATTTTGTCTGTCTCTAAAGCTCACCCAAGCTCTTATCCAAAAGCCATACTGTTCTCTGCTCCTAGGACCTACTTTATGCCACCACTGAGCACTGCTTGTTAGTCCCCGAGCCCCCACCCTGATGACTCCAGGGAAAATCTTAAATCCCACCTCCCAATGCTCAGTCAACAGCAGGGCTCAACCATTCTGTGGACCCCTTCTCAGAGTAATATTTGTAAATGTACAAAATAATATTTTAGGCTTAGAAAATAATTATTGAAATACAGTTAATAAGTTTAAAAATAGTAGTAACCTGTACTTCTTTAACATGTTAAATAATAAAATCTACTTGAAGTCTCACAGTTACCATTGATTTTGAAGTAGCAATGAGCAAAAATGATATTTTCGGGTAACTAACCCTGATGTGATATGAAGATGTGTATTCAGAGGTACAGGTATTACGAACAGTAATGTAGCTTGTTGACTACATTCATAATTGAAGAGAATGCTATATTTCAGTTGGAGGTTAGTGAAAATAAAGGCATATATTTTCCCCCATCCAAGTACATGATCCCTGAATCCAGTACTTTCAGTTTAGGTTCCATGTACCATGGTGTTCTCATGCCTTATAAAGAAGTGTGTGTGTGTGCGTGTGTGTGTGTGTGTGTGTGTGTGTGTGTGTGTATGGAGCGGGGGGGGGGGCACAGAATATAATAAACAAAACAGAGGGAGTGAACGGATGATGGGAAGAAAGCAGCCCAGGAATATTTTGTCATTGAGTCAGTGGTGCAAATGCTGCTCAGGCTTGACCCAGCTGCCACAGAAAATGTGCTGGGAGTAGGGAACGGGAGAAAAACAGTCCTTTTAAGTTGCTTCAAGATTAATTTAAAATATCTGTGCAGAACTAAGTGTCTCAGCCCTCTACTTATTTGGTGTTTTTGAAAGGGGGCGAGGAGGGTGGCGGTTTGGGTGAGGGCTGTGTGTATGCAGATCCACATCTAAACAAGGGCGTGAGGAAATAGTTACTGCGTGAGCCACGCTGAGCTTCCTTTCCGGTGGGAGGCTTGTCGAGACCTCTGATTCCAGATCCGGGAAGCTCTTGGCAGTCGGAGGAGTCTGGTGTTCACCCAGCTTCTATTTTTGTTAAGGGTGGGCGCAGAGTCTCCCCTCTGGCCTGTGGGGTGGCAGCTTGGTCCCAGGCCTTGAATAATAGGTGGTGCTCCTCATTTGCCAGCTGGCCTTGGACAGGGAAGGCACCTCTCACCATCCCCATGACCTCTGTGATGACTCCTAGCATTCTTCATCTTGGGGGTGGGGGGAGTGGAGAGGGAGCTATTATTTCTACCCATGAAGCATTTAGGGAGGAGGGACTCTGTTCTGTAGATAATTCATAAAGCAGGGCACCCATTCATTTAATAAATGTCTGTTGAGCAGCTGTCATGAGCCCAAAACAAGGCACTTAGATAAGGAGGAATTGGCCAGAATTTTTGCCCTGGAGCAGCCAGCTGTCCTACTTATTATGATGTATGACTGCTGTGTGCACCTCACTGTCCTAGGCACAGCCTCTGCGACTGGGAGTTTTTAGAGAACAGGTACATTGCAGCTCAGAAATGACAGGAAAATCTTAGTGAGCAATTTGTGGGAGAGCTGGATGATTCAGAGGTCATTCCAGTAGCACCCAGTGCATCTCGCTGGAGTATGAGCATCGCTGCCTCGGCCCTTGCCCGCTGGTCTGTAACTAATGGGCCTGTCCCCCACTGTGTTCACCGAACACAGGCTGGGTCACTCCTCATTAGCCAGGAGCAGATTATGGCTCTTTTTGCCGCCCTGTTTCACAGCCGGCTGCCCCCTCAGCTGCCGTGGAACCTGTGCGAAGGTGTCTGCCCTGTAATCACACCCCATTCCCAGAGAGAAGGGAGGTCTCTTTCCCATTAGGGGGCAATTTGTGGTATTAAGGGTCATTAAGTAGACTCATAGATGTCCCCTCAGAAAAGGGATGGGTGGGCACCACTCATTGGAGGATCCCCCCCAGGGCCCTCCCCTTTCCTGGGTACCTAGGACAGCTTGAACGGTATGACTGGAAGAGACCCTGATAGGGAAAAGTTTACCTCCCATTCACTGTAGGAAACCCAGCCTTACCATCCTGATGGCAGCCGTGTGACCTCACTATGCCCGTCTATGTGCTGATGCCAATGAGAAGTATCAGAAGCTCTGCACTGCCTGCCTTCTGATGTGGGGAAGGCCTACAATCATCCAGTCTTTACAGGGAAGGAGAAGTGCTTAGGAGGGCTCCCGTGCATATCTAGACTTAACTGACAGAGAAACCTTTGTCTACTCTGCTTTTGAATAAGAGGTTATCCTGATGTCTACCCAGGGGCCTACACCCTAGTTTTGCCCAAAGCCATTCCAGAAGGGAGTATATTCCCACTTCCTGTGGGAGAATCACCCAAAGCTTGGGCAGAGCTCCCCCGTGGGGTTTCCAGTATTGGAACTGCACTTCCTACTGGTTGATGCAGCACACTGTGCTTGTTTCACGTGGAAACCTGTGCTTGGGGCACCCCCACAAGATCTTTATCACCACGCTGGGAGGGGATTTAGGTGACCACCTCCTCCAGGACCAAGGCATCTGCCCAGATGAGGACCTCTCATTTGCTTAGGAGAGACTGGCCTCACCACACCGCCTATGGGAAAGCTCCCTTTGAAGAACTTAATTTTAAATGTCTTCCTGCATGTTCATTCTTGCATGATGAAATTCTGTTCAGCCATGTTCGTGCTGAAATGAAGCCGTATGAGTGGGGTCCATATTTGTCCTGGGATGTCACTTACTGGTTGGGAGACCTTCGGTGCATCTTTGACCTCTGACCCCCAATTA